CGGGGCTCGAACTCACGGACCGCGAGATCGTGACCTGGCCGAAGTCGGACGCTTAACCGACTGCGCCACCCAGGCGCCCCTAACTTAGTTTTTAAAAGGAGTCCTGTAGATACTGCCTGAAAAACATGGATGGCAGCAGAATGAAGGAAATACCAGAAAAACAGCAAAAGCAGTTAAATGCATACATAAACTACAGTGACAAGGCAGATACAAATTACCAATGATGGTTGCCCAGCTAAGGTCTACCAGTGAAATACATCCATTAGTATACATCATATAGCACTTATTGAACTTGGCCAAATAGTAAATTGAGCTGGTATTTACCTTTCTGTTTCTACCTTAACCTTTATGTTTGTCCTTAACATGGGCAATTGTATTCAGTTGTTCTCAGCCCTTTGGTCATTAAAATAATATGCCCATTAAAAAAAAAAACATGGATGCCATCTTTACTCCAGATACTATAATTTATGAATCTGGGGATTGGATGTGGCCACTGGGAATTTTTAAAAGCTCCTCAAGTGATTTTAATCTATAGAGAGCAATAAAAACCACTGAATTAAATGAACAATCCATTATTGGGAACAGATGTGTTAAAGTTGTCCTAAGATTCTGATTGGCTCCTACTTTATGGGTTTAGCAGAACAGAGTCAGAGTCTTCATGTCCAGGAAATGGAGCTGGACACAGTGAATCCAGGGTAAATATTATGATTGAGAGCCACCACGTTGAAATGGGAAATGGAGTAGGAGATGGGGTTTACTTGGCCTGAGTATAGAAGTGTTGGGGCGTGAGATAAGGCTGCTCAGTATTTATTATTTATTCTAGAATAAAAAGGCAGAGGTGGGGATCCCCAGCTTTGTATTTTGCTTTCAATGCAGAATATCCCTACAGGTTTTTAATCTTTCCTACAAGTCTTAAGACTTCCTATACTTGACAACTGTTGTCAAATCCAGGAATAATTAAAAAGCTGCAGTTAAGGGGCGCCTGGGTGGCTCAGTCAGTTAAGCATCTGACTCTTGATTTGGGATCAGGTCATGATCTCATGGTCCATGGATTTGAGCCCCGCATTGGGCTTTGTGCTGACAGTGCTGAGCCTGTTTAGGATTCTCTCTCTCTCTCTCTCTCTCTCTCTCTTGCTTCCTGCCCCTCCTCCACTCACCATCTCGCTCTCTCAAAATAAATAAGCATTAGAAAAAATAAAAGTAAATAAAAAGCTGCAGTTAAAGTTACTGGCAATTTGTAGCCATTCTAAACGTGAAGAGAATATGTGATTAAGCTTTCCTGAGTGTGTGAGACTCTGATTTTGAGCTGAGGCTCCCCCTTTAGAATGGTTTGTATATGGTAGGACCTGGAAGCTGGGAGGTGATCTGAACCACCCTGCAGAGTCTCTTCTGGAGGAGAGGAAGTATGACTCTTTCTAAAGCAAATACTTACTGAGAGTTTACTATATATAAAGCTGAGACAAAGGAAATAAGGGGTTCTGTTACTGGATGTGCAAGTCAAACAATTTAAATTATAAGTTCTATTTTAACTTGTATTTTATATCTATAATGTATTACTTGTACTTTTAAGTATTTGAAAACACCAAAAAATAGACTGCTTTGAAAAAGCAGTCTTTGAAAAAGTTTGTTGGACTTACCCTTTATGAATGAGAATGGCTATTGCTCCTTTTGATGCTGGATTAATGAGATTTTAGTGCCTATTATATTACTTAGGTGTCAATCTTAAATATTCGTGAACTTGAAATCAGTTATAAAGTAACATACTCATAGGGTTCATAGGGTTCTTTAAATGTCATAGTAAGACAGCATTTCTTTTACCTTCACATAGTTGTACTCTAAGAGAATAAACTGTCCATCAGGAGATACCGAATAATCGTTTATGGAATGTTCAAATTCATCCTGTCAAGCAGATAGAAAAAAGAACAATTGAACAGCTTCATTTAACAGTCATTATTGAGTAATTACTATGTACAAGGTATGGTTCTAGACATGTGGCTCATGCCTTGGGAGCTCCCAGAAATGGCACATCCCCCGACACAAATGACCATTGTGCAAGGTGTATGGTGATCTGGGTTAGAGAACCAGAGAGGGAAGGATTAATTCCAACCAACGGAAGACCACCATGAGGGTAGGGATCAGGAAAAGAGAGAGAAATTTCCCAGTAGGGGGAAGAGCATGAGCAAAACACCAGATGTGTGAAAGGGCATGCGTATTAAGAGACTATCCAGAGATTAGGCATAACCTGAACACAGTATAGGGTACATCAGAAAATATATAAGGTGGGAGGATGTAAAATTCAAAAAATAGCTTGGACTGAAATATAAAAAGTGGAACTATAAATGACTTTTTGCACATGGATGTGATAGAATCTTATCTGTCTTTACAAAGATGCTCTGGTTGACACGATATCTGACATGAGATGAGTAGGGTTGCATCGGCCCTAGACTTGGGCAATACAATGGTCTCGTCTACAGAATGGAGATAGGGACACAAGCTAGAATACTCACTCACACAGATTAAAAAGACCTTGAACCAGGACTCTACAGTGGAAACAGAAATCTGAGGGGTACTTGACATTGCAGAGGGAGAAATGATAGGGTTTGTTGAGTAGCTAAATATGGGGGTGGGGTCACACAGGAATCAAAGAGGATTCTGAGGATTTAAAGAGTAGAATTTCATTTTCTAGCCTAAGTGACTCAGAGGAGAGCATTACGTACCAAGATGGGGAACTCAGGAAGAGGAATAGGGTGCTTTCAGTTTGCTGGGAGAGTCAAGGGGAAATAACTAGTTTAACTTGGGATACTGAATTTAAAATATCTTGAGGCCATGGGTGGACAGGAGCAAGCAAGCTACTAGAAATAAAAGATTTCGATCTTGGCAGGAGGTTAGTGTTGAAGGTGTGCATTCAAGAGTCAAGGTGAAAAAGAGAGCCCTGATGCTGTGGAAGTGTATGAAGTTCACAGAAGGAGAGCATGCCAAGTGGGGACAGAGGCCAGCAAGTGAAGACAGAGCCCTGAGGGGCACTTACACTGAGGAGTATGGGCAGAGGAGGAAGAATCGTCAAGGGAGACTAAAAAGTAGCCAAGGCAGGGAGCATTCCAAGAAGAAGAGAAAGATCCACTGTGCCATATGCTGCAGAGAGAGTTCAACAGATGAGAAATGATAGTACTCATGATTTGAAAGGTTATGAAAAAAAAAAATCCCCAGAATTTATCCTTAAAGTAGGAATGAATTATGCGATTAAACATACAAATGTACTGTTCTCCAAGAAAATGGAGCTGTTTCCATATTCAGCATTGAATAGCAAGATATTATTATCTTGTTTGTAGAGATAATCGTGATCTAAAGAAAGAAAATGGTCAGATCAGTATTTCAAGTTATGATTAAATGTCTTCATCAGCTAAAAATTATCCAGTAAAAACTTAATGTTTACATTCACGCAAGTACTCAATAAGCATTTGTAAGTCAGAGAAACATTAAATGATGGATATGACACTAGTATGCATCCGTTTCCCCATCGTTACTGTCAAGGTTTCAATTCACTTTTAACTTTTTATAGTATGTATCAAAGAAATACTAAGGTATTATTTCTCTTTGCATGCTTAAGGAGAAAAAAAAAAACAAAACAACTCTCCTATGTTATTTAACCAAACAAGGATATCTTCTCAGGGCCACAAAAGTGCCCCACAACTTAACTAGAATGAGCACAAGCATAAAAATCTGTCCCCTCCCAAAAAAAAGTCCTTACCTGAAACCCACCGCAAGGAGTAGAATTTCACCCTAAAAGTATTTTTTAAATAATCAGTTAGAGTGTAAGTTCTGCGACTGTCAGCTGCAGCATCATCTGTTGGTTGAAAAAAAGAGCCAAATGTTCAGTAAGATGGAATAACCTAACTTTTGGATAAAATAAACAAATGGATCACTGTAATATACACTGGTCACAATATACAGGAATACACTCACAAAATGGAAAACACATTCTGAAAGACTTCAGGCTGGGTGAATGCACTTAACTGTTAAAGCGTATATGATTGGTGTACCTCCCGGAGCTATGTTAGTGCCTATATTAGCGAGCTTCCCTATAAGGTCTAGATCCGCAAAATCCAATGAAATATAACTTAAGTACATTTTCTAGTAACCATATTTAAAGATTTTAAGGTGAAAATAATTTCAGCAGCATATTTTATTTACCCCAAATATTCAAAATATTATCATTTCACATGCAATCAATATTTAAATTTTATTAATGAGATCCTTCACATTCTTCTTTTTTATACTACTTCTTTGAAACTGGCATGTCGTCTATGATTACAGCATATCCAGGCTGACTAGGCACACTCCTGGTCAGTAGCTACATGTGGCTGCACAGTAGATGGGCACAAGGCCAGACTGTCCTTCTTTGAGGCCTGAAGGTTCACTTCCAAGCTCTCTTGCTTTGCACAGACCTTTAAGACCTGCTGAGCACCCAGTTCAGTGACCTTTGTTTCTATCATCTTTCCTTGAACTTGGGGGAGGTTTTTATGAAACCCTCTCTTGGATTCTGTGATACCTCCTCGCTTCTCCTTCTCAGTCTCTAGCCTTTATTTTTCCATCTCCTCCTTGACTCTATTTTTCTTCATTGACCTCAAAGGCAGAAATGCCCTGATGTTCAATCTTCAGCTTTTTCCTCTTCGCTTTCTACATTTCTCCTTCCAGAGGACTCTGGAGAATGGGACTTCCTGGGCTTCAGGCATATTTCCCATTTAAATACATAACAACACGTGTACTCACTACCTTAGTCTTCCACACCCTAAACTCACATTTCCAGTGCTGTGTGGGGCCTTCTTAGTGACTTGTCCCATGCTAACCCCAGACCTACCTTGTATAAGATAATTGTCTTCCTTCGAAAATAATTTTCCCTAGGGAATGTGTGTGTGTGTGTGTGTGTGTGTGTGTGTGTGTGTGTGTGTGTGTGTGGTTTTAGATTCTGTTACTGGAGACCCCACTTCAAAGTCTGAAAATCATTTGTGATGTCGCTCTCTCTTACCATCACCTGCATCCTATTAACCCTGTTGATTCTTCCTGCGAAATCTTTCTTCCAGGTATCCTGCCCTGAATTTTTCCCAGTCCAATTCTTCCACTGCACCACTTCTGGCACGGTTTTCCCAAAATCCACTTTCATCCTGGTGACTTTTTCTTCAAAAGCCTTCACGGATTCCCCAATGCCCACAGGAAGATTCCAACTCCTTAGCCTGGCACTCGTGACCTCCACGGTCTGGCATGAGACTCTCCAGGGTCATTTCTACTCACTCTGTGCATTAAGCCTCTAACCTCGTCATGCTGATTGCCTACTGAACCCAGTAAACCTTCTTTGGCTTTTCTGACTTTGCCCCTTCTCCTGAGCCTCCTCCCTACAACATCTCCAACTGTTTCCCAGGCTGGCACAGTCCTCCACCTGCCAACGCCCTCCTCTCTCATCAAGACTTCAGTGCTGTCTCCTCTGACTTTTGCCCCAACACTACTCATTTAATAACTTCTGCTGATAACAATTTTTCCATGCCTACCAGTGTTGTATACTTAGCGAGGCCATGTATTTGTTGAAGACAGGGCCTTGGATTTTTGTTTTTCATCAACCTTAGTACCTAGCACAGTTCTATAGCATAGTAGGCACATGTAGGATATCATTCTACAAGCCTAACAAATCCAGTGTAATGCTCCTTCCCCAACCACAGAGCCTCCAGTGATGACAGAGTTTTTCCATATTCTCTGTTCTTTCCACATACATGCAAACATAAGTCAGTCACAAAAGCAGCCACCATCATAACTTTCCTATAACTCTTCTTACTCTTTTGGGGACTGAAAAGCCAGTAGCAGCTTCTCATGTTATTTTTTTTTTTTAAAGTCTGTGGAAAGGCAATTCTCTTACACAAAATGCTCTTTTAAAAGATGTTCTTAAGACTTTATTTGGATCTTCTTAAGATTTTATTTATTTGGATCTTATCTGATAACATTGCCTTGTTTCTGCATACAAAACTTTCAGTTTCAATAGTTAAACTTTATTACTTCATTGATATTTTTAAGCCTAGTTTGCTAAATACGTTAAAGATTTTTTTTAATGTGTTTTTTTTCAATTCAGTCTTGCATTTCACCCCTGAAAATTCGCAGAGATATAGCAAATGGGTAAAACCAGTGCTTGGACATGCAAACTTTCAAACAGGAAGTAAAGCCTTGTGTTACAGAAAATATTTGAAACTCATATTGGATTGCAAAACCACAAATCTATAGATTTATTCACTAAATACCCTGAATTGTTTGTATTCAACTTATCATTCTCTGACACATCAAATAGCTATAAAGCAAGTACTATTTGAAAATACCATTGAGGATATATACCCTATCAAGAGCTATTAGTTTAAAATGGACACAAAAGACATTCCAAAGTTAGTACAGCTCAAGGTATAAACAGTTATAGACATTCACAGTCCTATATTACCCGCTGATATCTAGGTAGACCTATTGCTATAGAACAATTTACACACACACACACACACACACACACACACA